GTAACTGGTCACTTTGCTTTTTAACTTCTAAACTGAAACTTTAAAGTTATCGTTGGGCTGTTTTAGAATATATATACAGCTAAAATAAACATGTTTTAGTATATATAGGGAATATAGCAATATCGTAGGGCTGGGAGTTTTAGAATATATATACAGTTAAAATAAACATGTTTTAGTATATATAGGGAATATACCAATATCGTTGGGCTGGGTGTTTTAGAATATATATACAGCTAAAATAAACATGTTTAAGTAGGGAATATAGCAATTGGTTTGATTTGCTTGAGGGATTATGCAATAAAAATGTCCATGAATTGTTTTTATGCCGACCGTACCTATATAATATATTCTTCTTTTTGAACAGGATAAAATAAGTTTAACCATAATGAATAACATGACGAGGCTAAATGCCGGACGGAAAAAAGGTGTGGTCGGACGAAACAATGATGTGGTGTGCCTTCCCTCCCTCCTCTGAGCCTCTGACAAAACCTAAAGCTTTGGTCAATTTTAGATAAATTATGAAGGAAAGGTTTAAGCAGGAAATCCCTGCAGATTAGCTACCAGGGAAAAGTCATCTAAAAATATGATCGATGCTTGTAAAGTTAAGTGGAAAAAATGTCACCTGAAAAATATTGAAAACGGAAAGAACATATAGATCTCCAGGGGCGTAAATGAAGGGGGAGGGACAATGGAGGCTATAATTCCCCTCAAAAGGTGTACAATTTTATTTCCATCCGAAATTTATAGCTCCCCCCCCCCCCTAAAATAATATTAAACCTTACACCCTTCACAAATTCTTGGATACACTTATAAGAGCTACATCATTTGCTGATACGTTTGAATATTTAAAAAAAACATTTTTTAAAAATAGTTTTGACTTGGAGATGTTGTGGAACAGTGGAATACCCCTGACAATTTCAGAAGATACTTTACTGAATTATTTTCTTTGATCCTGAATATTATCCTCTATCATCTCCACTTTACATATGCATATATTGGATAGTTCTAACATTACTTTTCTTTATATTAAAGGGAGTGACCGGCTATGTTAGGTAGTTGAACTGAGTATGCAGTGTTGTGGAAAGGTTCTTTAGGATTTATTTGAGACATATACAACTTTTTAAAGATCTGTAAATCCTGAGTTTGAACGCAAATTCAATATTCAAAACTCCTACTTTGGGGGTGGATAAGTTTTCAGAATCGTTTTATTTTTAATTATTAAATAACGACGACAAAAAATGTAAACAAAACTCTACTATAAACTAATTAGTTGATAGGAACCGGTTGAGAAAATAAAAATTGATCTTATCATCGAAAATAAGTAATCTTGTTCAATTATTATTTTCTATTTTCACATTATTCTATGTTTCTCATTATTCACTAAGATTTTCTCCAGATTTTCTGAATTAATAATGGAAAAGACGACATTTGAAGAATTTGAAGAAATCTGCGAATAAATTCAAAGAAAATAAGAAATTCAATATAATAATGAAAACGAAATAATTGATTCTAGCATTGATTTATTGACAAATTCCTAACCATCTAATTAGATTACTGTATGATTTCTACTTTATTTTTATTTTTAATAGGAGTTTCAAATATATATTATTTTAAGTATTCTTTTTTGACAAAATAAAAAGTAGTATAATTCCGAAAATAAATTATGTGTGCAATCTATTCCTTTTTCCTAGGTTTCAAGCTTAAAGTTGAGATAGGATAATAAAGTTATAGTTAACACTGTTAACTTAGACATATTAATATAAAGTTTGAAATTGACAAACTTTATTTGGACTTTTCTCCAGATTTCTCTGGACCTCATTATAAACAAGAAATGGTAGATAATTCTTGATGCCACGTTATTTTGAAATATGACATGTTCCCAATCAGAACAGAACTCATTTTACTGAAGCTACTTTCATCTTGTGCGTAGAATAGATTTTGTGGGAGTCGTTTCATTAATGTTGCGCGCTTTGACCTAATCACTATTTATTGAAATATATGATGAAAGGATACGAAAGGGAAAGGATAAATGAACACGATCGATGGAAGATCGCAAAATGCATTCCTTTAGTTCAAAAAGTTTTAGAATTGCAAAAAAAATTCTCCACTAGTTTATAAGGCTGCCATAGTTCAGCACCNCCCCCCCATCAGAAAATAAGCAGGAAAAGATGTAACGGGCCTCGGGATGAAACGCACTATAAGCTCCTAAGAAAAGGCTTATTCATTTGGTGTACCGTCCTGTTTTCCTTATAAAGTCTGTATCTCCATTGTACACTCTGCACTCTAACTGCTTAAAATTCAGTTAGGTACGTTCGTTCTCAAATATTTTGAAAATATTAGTTATTAAATTCTTCCAAACTGACAATTTGGTCCATACAGATTCTTTAAATTGATTAAGTTTTTAATTAAAATATATATATATTAGGCTATCTGGGCTTTTATTTCGAGTGTTAATTGTTGCTCAATATATTTCAGCATTTTCTCTTCAATTCAATAATACAAATTTTGCGGATTAGGGGAATTTTAAAATTTGACGAAAATCAAAAATTGTTGGAGACAACTAGCAACTTGAAAACCACGTTATAGCAGAGTGTTGTATAGCAGATGTGGCGTAAGTCGAAAGATGCACCACCCTTCAAAGAAAGTTTACGGAAAGTATCTGAAGCCAATCTGCAGCCACTGCAAGGATTTGAACTGAATGAAAAAATTGCAAAGTCGTGATATAATACATTTGAGAAATGAGCGGTTTTCAACCATGCTCTCCACTTAATGTTTTCCAATATCAGGCCATTCTGAAAAATAAAAAAAAACTTTGAATTTTGATATTAAGGTCGGGTTTTTTTAATATCAGGCCATTCATAAAAAATGAAAAAATGAAGCAGATTTTGATATTTAGGTTTAGGTTAAGTTTTTTTATATCAGGTCATTTTTAAAAATGAAAAAATTGAACAGATTTTGATATTTAGGTTAGGTAGTTACAGAATTGCTTATTAAGTTTTAAACATGTGGCAGTAAATACTAACAATGTAAATTTCAGCAAAAATTAGAAAAATAATTATAAAACGATTAAATTGTTTTGTCTTACCAAATGTAAATGATTATAACATAATGTTATTTTTTTAACATTATTGTCAACAAATATTATAGAAAGGAATCATTATTACTCCTTTACAACTAGGACTGTGCAAAGTTCTGTTAACAAAACGGAGATTTTCGAATTTTGACGGAAGAGTCCATTAACAAACGGCAAAATAATTAATTTTCAAATTGTTAACGAAACGGATTAGCCTTTTTTGTTAAAAATTATCCGTTAAAGAAATTTTTTCGCTGCTTCGCACCTTGAACGCCATTTACTCTGTAATAACGGTACCATTAACGACTAGAGCCGTTCATGGTTGTTGACAAATTTCCATTATCTCCATTAATAACTTGAGCTCGTTAACTAACGGTAATTAAAAAAACGGAAAATGCTGTTAACGAAACGAACGTTCTGTTCTTACATTTAAAATCAAAAGCAACCTGAAATTGTTTAACAGTAGGAACAACCGGTTAATTAAATGGCTACAAAAAGTTGGAATGTGCCCAGCCCTAATTACAACATAATATATTTTTGATTGTGAATTTATATAAACGTGACACGGGAATTTTCCTATGCAGAAAAAATGATGAGAATAAAACCCTTTTCAGGACAAAAACATAATAATATCTTTCTTATTGATCCTCAGATAAAGTTTTGATTGGTACCGCTAGAAATGGATAATCACTAGAAACACGTTTACTTATATGTTCCATTAAGTAGGAGGGATGGGGAAGGGCACTTAAACAATATCAGAAAATGAAATGAGTTTTCCCAAGAAAACTATCTAAAATATAAATTATGTTATGTTAATCCTATTTTTGCCGGGGGGGGGGGGGGGAATTTCCCCCCCCTGTAGTTTTTTTCACATAAATACCAATAGTTTTTCCTGTAGGTATAAAACCGGGCTTTTATACTATGAAATAAGGAAACGGATTGCACAAGTTTTGCAAAGTTTTTCATCTTTCCGAATTTCTTCAGCATAAGTCGTTTTCAACAATTTTCTCCTTATAGACGCAACAGATAGAAGTAAGATTAATAGCGATCAAAAGCACTTTTTATCGCATTAAGCCTATACCCCCCTTCATTTTTCGCGAACACTCCCTTTTTTTGTGGAGTTTAATGATGGCTGAATTATACAATACAAACACTCCAACTCATCTTGCCCTGGTGATTGTCCAAGTTGCTCACCCTGCACCTAGAATAGAACGCCCCTGAAAATAAACAGAAACATCTGAAAATGCTACACATGTGTTTATCACAATACCTGTAACTCTTTAACTAAGAAGCTCTCATTTCAAATTTGCTAATTGAGCTAGTCTGAATAAGATAAATTTTGTTTTCATTGATTTATTTTGGAAATTATGTGGCTTAGTTTTCTTACGAATCGCGAATTTTACTCAAAAACGGGAAAGTTGGTTTGGTCTCGAAAAAGGAAAACCTGGCCTTTCTTGAAAACGGTCAATGGCTTTAATAATAAAATGAACTACTTTCAAAAATTTTATTTCAGAATAAATTTTACAATTTGGAATTGTTGTCCTTGCATTGCTTAATATAATGTTAGTTATATGTTTTTATTTTCGACTTATAAGTTCTAAACGGGTCGTCATCTTAAAACAATATTTTTAATTTGTGCTCATTTCCAAATATAATTACTAAACGGTAAATAAAAGTGCCCGATAAACCTATCAAAGGTAGATTTTTCGCATTTTTTATCTTTACTTTTTGTTTCGCCAAGTATTTAAAATTTTTAAGTGCACGCTATTTTTGGCGGATTTTGAATGAGCGATAAAAATATAATTGAAAATACAGGATTCACTTTGTTGTAGAAAGTTTGTTAATGTATAAATATTCAACAGGGTACAAAATCGAAACGTAGTATCTTTCTTTTTAATTTCTATTATTAATATGTTTTTTTAGACGATGGTAACTCAGCAGAGAAAGAAAATGCTCTTGCCGGCAGTAATGTTTTTCTTTGGACTTTTTGTTGTAAGTTTTTTTTGCGTTATTACTTTTCCTCTTCTCAAGTTCTCAACATTAATTACAGTGGTAACCAGAAAACTCTGAAATAAGAAGACGACTTTTAGACTTAATGTATGCTTTTCAATAGTCCAATAACCATTGAACACAGCAATCGTGCAGTGTAAACAGACCAATTGAGTGTCTAGTTCAAAAATTTGCCTTGTAACATCATAAAATACACTTTAGTATTGTTATAAAGTCGTCTTCATATTTCAGAGTTTTCTGGTTATTATTGTATTTGTCTTTTGACCTTTAAAATGTAAGTACTTTTGATATTAATGTTTTTATAATTTCTTTTTGTTATTCAAAAGACGTATTTTTTAACCCTTCGCAAATGTCTCAATGTCTTTACAGTTCTCTTTTTGCTTCCTCTTTTTCGAAATATTTCGATTTACACATTTTGCAATAATTCATGAACAATATTGCTTTTTAATTAGAAAGTTAAATTTTATTTTCATTTTTACAAAAAATCTTGTGTTCTATCTCTCATAAAGAAATATTTTTATTTTTGTTTCTTTAACAATCGTTAAAAAGAATTTTTAGTAAACAGTTCTCCGTGCAGAGAAATCTTTTTAATGTACTACGAAGTATTAATTGCAGATCAGTATAATTTCAAGTAACTTTTCAATTGTAATTTTATGCCCGGTTAACAGCCTAAGTTTGTGCAAAAAATGTTGAAGAAGGCTTTTTTTATGAGAAATTTTTTTTTATTTTCTATTTTTTATGAGAAATTTGATAACTTTAATGGTGGTGTCTTAATAAAAGTGACTTGCCCTTTTTGCGGCAAAAATAAAAAATAAAATCATCAAGATTTAACACTTTTCTAGACAAATAAATATATATACATTATTTTACATCAGATCAAATATTAAAATTACGGTGAGACCCGTAAACCTTTGGAATAGTAAGAAATAATTAAGGACTTTAACAATTAACAATGAACATGAAACACAGCAATTTTGTAGTTTATAATGGACACATTTTCAAAATTAGAAGATTTTCAAACAACTGTTAGAAAATCTTTAAATATACGAAGAAAAAGGATTAATGTCGTCTTCCTATTCCACAGATGTATGTGTTCCACTGTATTTGGTGTACTTTGGGTTTGAATAATCATGTTTTACATTTCTTTATACGATACTGTAGAGTGTAGACCCGTTGTATTTGAAATGAAAAATAGATGTAATCTCAAATAAAGGGTTGGCTCCGTTTTGAAAATGATGGAAAAGAGGCAGATTTTTCTCAAGTACTCCAGGGAGTTCAGAGACTAGAGGTAAACCAAATTTCAAGGTGTTTATATAGGGAGTCCCACGAAACATGACAGTTGGTGAAAAGTTTTGAATGTCTTCTTCCATGTGCTGTATTAAAAAGAAGAATTTTTTTTGGTAATTTTGTTTAAAATTTTTTTACTCAAAAATATTTTACTTTGAAATCAATTTTACTGTAAGATGTCTCCAATAATATATGTTTTATTATTCTCAAAAAACTTAACAAATTATGCAAGATGACTTTTTAAACTGCAGTCACTAACTGTCATGTTTCGTGAGACACCCTGTAGGTAATGTGAGGGGAATTGAGTTTGCTCATATGTTTATTTTAATCAAACCTTTGTTTTTTGGTTTTAATCTTTGTTTTTGTTTTGATCCAACTTTTTTTTCAAATTTTAAAAGTTCCCAAATCTTTATTGGAAATTCTGAAAATAAAGAACGAAATAAGACGACTATAATTCCACTTTACATTGGTCATCACTGTATTGATACACATTTTCAGAATATGAATAGTGAAAAGTCGCTTAAATCCCGGCCACCATTAGGTAAAAAAAATCATGCTTTATCTTTTTTCTCATTTGTAGATTTTTTGCTGAACTTGCTGAACACTTGTAATGTATGATTTATCTTTGCAGCAATATAACTAACTTTTTATCAGATGTAATTAAGTATTTCTCTTTTTTGGTTTAAAAACAGATGTTTATTTCAAAGGCAATTGAACTCTTTGTTTACTTTGTATGATTTAAATATTTGATATTTAAGAATATATATGAAAATGAACACTTTTTTTGAGGGTATTTTTTCAAAATTTACAAAAATTTACAACTTTTTTAGTTTATAAGAGAAATTTATGAGAAATAATCGATTTTCAAAATGAAAAATGACCGACTTTTAAGATTTAAAATGACGAACTGTTTATTTTAAATATTGCCGTATCGTAATTTAAAAAATGGCCGACTATCAACATTTTGTTTTTTTCGTTGATGCATGATTAGGGTTTGCGGCGAAAAGAAAAAATGTTCGCATTTTTTCTCTTGCAAAAAACTTAATTTTTTTTCGCGAAATTTCGCTTTAATCTGTTTCGCGGAAAATGCAAAATTTTCACGAAATAGATAATGCGAAAATTTTGCGAAAACATAATGCAAAAGTTTTGCGAAAAAGTAAAAAAAAAAAAATGCGATAAACAGAAATTATGCAAAAAAAACACGAAAATTTCTCAAAAAATACGTTATTTTTAATTGGCTGTTTCGTAGTTAGGTTTAACGTACGTGGACGGACAGAAACTTAAAAAGATAGTTAGAGAATTCAAGTTCTCTTCATCAAGCATTTATTATAAAGAAAGGGAGAGAAATTATTTATACAACAAAAATAAAACTTCAAATATTGAGCTATTAAAGCAGAGAATTCCACAACTTTTTTTGCGCAATTAACTGTTGCAGCTAAAATGCTTATGGTTTTCGCGAAATTTTTTTCCCGAAAATTTTTCACAAAATTTTTGCATTTCACATTTTCGCGAAATTTCGAATCGTTTTCCCATTTTTTCGCTTCATTTTCTTTCGCAAAAAAGTTTTCAAAATGCGAAAGCAAATTTTCGCATTTCTTCGAATTTTTGGAGAAATGGAGAAACGTTTCGTTCGCTGCAAACTCTATGCATGATGTTACAGGTGGCAGATACGATGCTATTCTTGAACTATGTGGAGAGCTTTGCGACCTTACTAAACCAATAAAAAGACAAGCTGGAGACTTATTGGGAATGGGAACAGTGAAAGCAAAGGTATATAAAGTGCAAGATTAAAGAATGAAACTTAACCCTATTCCTGCTGGGGGGGGGGGTCAATTTGACCCCCCCCTGTTTTTTTACATAACTCAAAAAGTATTGGTCTCAGGCTGTTGAAATTTTCTGACTTTTCTTACATACCCAAAGCCCTCCCTTTAGGCCTAAAACCAGGCTTTAATACTAACTGCCTGAGTCCTCAGGCACACTGCCTGAATGACTACTTTTTCCTGTAACAAACTAAGTCTTTGTTTTGACCCACTTCCATTTGTCAGATTTTGATAAAATTTAGCTTTTTGGAAAGCTTTTGACATAAGGAAATGAATTGCACAAGTTTTGCGAAAAAAAAATTGCAAATTTTTTGCAAACAACCTGTCAAAGGAAATTTGCACATTTTTAGTTTTACAGGTTATTTAAAATTTTGCAAAATTGTTTGCATATTTGAAATGGCATGGTCAAGGGCTTTTCAAAAATGTATAATTTATCATTTTTTGGACAAATTTTTTTGCAAACATTTTTACTATATAACTGGATTTTGCGATAAAAAAATTCAATTTTTGCAAATTTGCAAATTTTTTTGCAGATTCTAAAAGTAGAGCACAAGAACTTTCCAATGATGTATCATTTGTGATATTTGGACATCAAACATGGGATTTAGAGGGGGGGGTCAAATTGACCCCCCCAGCATATCCTGGTTTTCAAGTACCCCAGCATAGATAGGGTTAAAATATTAGAGTCAAACATGTAATATAAAAAAGAAAGTTTTTTAATGGGGGTGGGGCATCCCAATTTTTCCCATGGAGACTGAATCACAAGAAAATACAGAAAATTTAGCCCCCCTAACATTTGAGACCAATCGTTGCTTGATCCGAAACAGTTCAAGAATACCTGTCCGTCTTGTGTACCAAGTATAGACTTGACCCAACATGTTTCCTATAGTGGACATATTCATCCACAGTGCTCTCGGGCAAAGCAAGCAATGACATGATTTAAAGGGACTGTAAGCGTAATATCAAGTGACCTTTCATTCATAGAAAGGCATGTCCAATTTAAAGCTTTGTTTGGAAAATGATGAGGTAGATAGCTTTATTTGCATAGCTGGAAAGAACTCATTGCTAGTATTCACTTGCACGGTTTCTAGGCACTTAATCTCACCGCTATATATTGAAAAATATCTACGAAATGTTTGATCAGACAAAGATTTAAAGGGTATCGTTAAAATCGGACATGTCACTCTACAAATGGAAGGTCACTTGAAATTACACATACAGTCTCTTTAAACCGATTTTTCTGATTTGTTTATCATGTTGACTGATGCTGCAGGTTGACTGTGACGCTGTATTCTCTAGTCCTGAAATAGATCGACCCAGTGGACATCCAGCGATGAGTTGGGAAATGATCCCACAAGATCTCCAGGTAAATGATCCCACAAGATCTCCAGGTAAATGATCCCACAAGATCTCCAGGTAAATGATCACACAAAATTTCCAGGTAAATGATCCCACAAGATTTCCAGGAAAATGATCCCACAAGATCTCCAGGTAAATGATCCCACAAGATCTCCAGGTAAATAATCTCACAAGATATCCAGGTAAATAATCCCACAAGATCTCCAGGTAAATGATCACACAACGTCTCCAGCTAAATGATCACACAACATCTCCAGGTAAATTATCCCCCAAGATCTCCAGGTAAATAATCCCACAAGATCTCCAGGTAAATGATCCCACAAGATCTCTAGGTACATGATAACACAAGATCTCCAGGTAAATGATCACACAACATCTCCAGCTAAATGATCACACAACATCTCCAGGTAAATGATCCCACAAGATCTCCAAGTAAATGATTCCACAAGATCTCCAGGTAAATGATCACACAAGATCTCCAGGTAAATGATCCCAGAAGATATCCAGGTAAATGATCCCACAATATCTCTAGGTAAATGATCCCACAAGATCTCTAGGTACATGATCACACAAGATCTCCAGGTAAATGATCACACAACATCTTCAGCTAAATGATCACACAACATCTCCAGGTAAATGATCACACAAGATCTCCAGGTAAATACAATCTCACATCTATAATTCTCATAGTATCTTATAGAGATGGACACGTTCATCCAAAAGAAATTGATTTAGTTCGTTTTACATCTATTTCATTTGTTTTCTCACTGAACGATTATTCATTATAATTGTTCGGATAGTTAAATCGTTTATTCAGTATAATAGTTCACTCAGTATAATTCTTTGTTCAAAAAAATTGTTCAATTAGAAAAAAAACGATTCTTTTTCGAAAATGTGTTTGAAAAGAAAACACTAATGTTATTAAAAACGCTTGTTCCAAAAAATAATTTATTCAGTAACAATTTATTTTTTCAAAATATTTTGAAAAATTCGTTTGTACAGTTAAAAAAAACTATATTTCTTTTTCATTACTCTGAGCAATCCTCGTTCGTTTGTTTCCTGAACGACACTTTTTTTACGAAAATTTTTGTTCGTTTTCAAATAACATGTTGTTCGTTCAAAAAAAACGATCTCTAGAATCTGATCCTAAGAATTTTTGTTTAGAAAGAGTATTCCCATAATGGACAAGTTAACATTCTCTCTTGGTTTTTTGGTAAATATTTTACTGATTAATTTTACAATGAGATCCACAGAACTGTGCTAAAGGAAGACGGCTGTTTACACTCCGATAATATTTAGTCTAATCAACATTTTTTACTTGTAAATTGATTTTTAATTTATCTGTAATTGCTTTATTACTACAAGGTGACTACAAAGGGTGGATTAGTGTTTTTAAGCCTCAATTACCTTTCAAAATGATTTTAAAAGTTTTCAAATTTAGAAGGGATTGTTTAAATTTCATTTTGTCGTTTGATGCTTTGTCAAATGTTCAAAATCCTCTCTGCTTATTAAAAAAAATAACAATTTTAAGTATTCTAATGTGTGGGAAAGTTAAAGGAGTCAACAACCTCAGATACTAGGAAGGGGGGGGGGGGTTACACTGAATGTAGCATTAGCATACATCTGACATATAAATGGAATCACGGAAGTTCGTAGTAAGATTTTGATTATAAACCCATAGGACGGATTTATCAATCCCTCCAGTGGAATTATAATTCCACTGGAGGGATTCAGATGTATATCCAGGGGGATTATAATTCTACTCGAGGAATTCAGATATCCTTCCTTGGGGTTTATAATTCCACTGGAGGGATTCAGATATCCTTCCTTGGGGTTTATAGTTCCACTGGAGGGATTCAGATATCCTTCCTTGGGGTTTACAATTTCACTGGAGGGATTCAGATATCTTTCCTAGGGGTTTATAATTCCACTGGAGGGATTCAGATATCTTTTCTATTGGTGTATAATTCCACTGGAGGGAATCGGATATCCTTCCTATGGGTTTATAATTCCACTGGAGGGATTCAGATGTATATCCTGGTTTTTTAAAATTCCACTGGAGAAATTCATATATCTTTCCAGGGGGATTATAATTCTCTCGAGGAATTCAGATATCCTTCCTTGGGGTTTATAATTCCACTGGAGGGATTCAGATATCCTTCATAGGGGTTTATAATTCCACTGGAGGGATTCAGATATCCTTCATAGGGCTTTATTATTCCACTGGAGGGATTTAGATATCTTTCCCTTGGGTTTTTAATTCCACTGGAGGGATTCAGATATCCTTCCTAGGGGTTTGTAATTCCACTGGAGGGATTCAGATATCTTTCCAGGGGGATTATAATTCTACTCGAGGAATTCAGATATCCCTCCTATGGGTTTATAATTCCACTCGAGGGATTCAGATATCCTTCCAATGGGTTTATAATTCCACTGGAGGGATTCAGCTATCCTTCCTTGGGGTTTATAATTCCACTGGAGGGATTCAGATATCCTTCCTTGGGGTTTATAATTCCACTGGAGGGATTCAGATATCTTTCCTAAGGGTTTTAAATTCCACTGGAGGGATTCGTATATCCTTTCTTGGGGTTTACAATTCAACTGGATGCATTCAGATAGCTTTCCACTAGGAAGGATTTCTGAATCCCTCCAGTGGAATTACAACCCCCTTGGAAAGATATTTTAATCCCTCCAGTGGAGTTGTAAACCCCTAGGAAGGATGTCTGAATCCCTCCAGTGGAATTGTAAACCTCTAGGAAGGATATCTAAATCCATTCAGTGGAATTATAAACCCCCTGGAACGATATCCGAGTCCCTCCAGTGGAATTATAAATCCCTAGGAAGGATATCTGAATCCCTCCAGTGGAATTATAAACCCCTAGGAAGGAAATCTGAATTCCTCCAGTGAAATTATAAACCCTCTGGATAGATATCTGAATCCCTCCAGTGGATTGTAAATCACCATGCGTCAAGTTTCAAATTGAAAAAAGTGACTTTTCAAACCCCTCCAGTGAAAATGAAATTCCTCCGGTGGTCTTCAGTAGAATCGAAATCTTAATACGAACTTCGTTCAGTTATATAAATGCACACATTTCATAGAAACAAAATATTTTAAAAACATTTTTCCCTGATTTATACCTGTTGTCGCCAGAGGTTCCAAAATTCGATGGTTTTGTTGCTACCTGCTTACTGAAGCTGGAGCGCCAGTAAATAAAAATAAAGGCGCTAAAAAATAAAAACCATACCCGGTAAAATTTTAGATTTTTTTTCACAGACCGGACTTTTTTCCACCCTGTACCCTACCCTATAAATAAAAAAAAACATATTTCTTGAACACAAAATCCTTTAAATTACTATTTATTAAAAGTCATAAAATTTCACGGTGATAGTGTGAAAAATGAGAGTACTAGGACAAAAAAAACTACAGAGGGGTGCCAAACGCACCCCCCCCCCCTCCAGCCTGTTTAGGGAACACAAAACAGAAGAATCGAAAGACAAAACGTTAACCTTCCGACCCTAAAATTAAAAATCATATGTTCTAGCACATTTTGGAGTCATTTAAAAAGATTAAAAGGGCCGAAAAACGCTTTATCACTGTTTTTGATGGGTCACCCTGTAGTGTATATGAAATTCACAAAAGATTACCCTTAATGTCGTCTCCCTTTTCCACAGTCTTATATGTAGGTCCCACTGAAACTATAGTAAAATTTTATTTGTAACTTTCTCGATTTATGAGTTGCTGCTACAAAACAAGATGTAAACCATTATAGTTAAAAAGTTTACTCCTGTTTGAATATATATTTTAGATCTATACATTTTTAAACTTACAAAATATTTCGTTTGAAACCTGAATTTCTCTAGAATGTTTTAGCAGTTAAAAAATATATGATTTACCTGTAGTATATGACCAAATTATCTATAAAAAATGACGAAAACAATCTTCTTTTTTTTTTGAAAAAAGTGTCAAGATAAAAAAAATAGTCAAACAATGAGAATACAAGTTTTACATATGAATTTAATTTTTCATAGACGAAACCAGCCAAGTTGTTCAGAAAGCTGAGAATGATGTTAGAATCTACTCGAAAACTTACGTTCAAACGTACAGTAAGATCTATTATTATAATATAATATTTATAAAGGGGATTTTGACTTAGCTAAAATCTAAAATCTATATATTTATACTAGCATGGGAATTCAGCTTTGCCTGAAGACCTGTAACATTTTTCAAATCAAACTAAGAATCGAGTTCCCTTATCATAATTTGAGGCAAATCGGCCAAGAGATTTTGAGTTAGAATGCATAGGACATACAAACAAACAGTTTGTTTTATTTCCGATCATAGCTCAGGAATCTCTTTACCGATTAGGATGAATTTTGATAGGGCAACTAGCTTAAAAGGACCAAATAATTGTGTTTAGAAGGCTGTATTAGGAAAGTTTAGATTTTCAAGCAAAGGTAGCTTAGCTCTCAATCTAAAGTACATCCATAATTTGACAATTTACTCTTTTTCATTTTGCTGTATGGCTTTAAATTCATAATTAATGGAAATTTTTTAAAAATCTAGATATTTATTGTCTTCTTATTTAAATTGTACAAAATAGTTTACATGTGTTCAATAATAAAGCTTAACGACAAATTCGTTTACATTTTTTTGAGAGATTTGTGTATGGGTTAAATACATACATTTTAATGGAAATTTTGATAAAACTGGGATTAAAATTTGTATATGAAATATGGCTGTGGTCATTGAATATTTTATTAAAGATTGATTTGGATTTAATATTCTAACATAACATAAAATTATATTTTCTTTCAGTTGACAATTTTGTTTCTGGTAGGCCCAATGAGACATACACTAACGCCAGTTTTCTCATAGACAAGGTATATATATATATTATATATCGCAAAATAAAAATAAAACTCATTGCACCTCCCAATATTGATTGCCACCAATAATATAATTGATGTGACATGTAATATTGCAGTAACATCTTTTCTCTTCTTTCTAAAAAGGATCTTATTAGAGTTCAGACCCTACAAAAAAAATCTGTACGTCTAGTCTGCAATAAGAGTTTTAATTCTCACACTGCCCCACTTTTTTTAAAAACTGCCATAGTCCCTTTCCAAGATCTAATACAAGTAAATGCCCTTTGTTTTATGTACGAATATAGGTTAAATCGTCTGCCATCATCATTTAATAACTCATGGAGCTTGAACAGGGATACAGACCCCCAATATATGCTAAGAAATGGCGAAGACTTTGCAATTCCACGATTAAAGTACCAGTATTTAAAATCACATCCTCTTTTTTATTTTCCGAATTTATGGAATAAATTTAAACCAGTGTTTAAAAATAGCATTGTTAAGAGCTCAACGTTTTCCAGTAATTTAAAATCTTATTTTCTACACAAACTTGATGAAAGCTATAGCATAGATTGTAACTGTTATTTATGCACTGTTTAGTTTGCTTGTACCCAGGGTCTAAGTACAATACCTTCTTATAATATATTGCTTTGTTGTCTATTCTCCAGGTCTACTTGGGCTCTCATGATCGGACCTACTCAGAACCCTAACAGAAATATTCACCTCTCCTTCATTTTTTTAACTTTCATCGTATCATACGCCGCATAAATCTAAAGTTTTCAGGGACCTGGACCAGACAGCCAGATATTGAGCTCTCCGGGTTTCCCGGCACTGTAATAATCATAGAATTCATCAATGTGTTTTTAACCCTTGTAAATGTATAATTATGTGCCTAATAAAATATTTATTTATTTATTTATTTATATTGCTTTGCATCTTAACAGATGTATATATGGATTGTGAAGTTGTTTTCTGCTTGCGACAGGGATCAAACCTCTCATAGCAGCTCCCGGCTTCACAGTTCGGAAGAGTGCTACTTAGAGTTGCTCATGACTTACACTACAGGGCAGTAGTGAAGCATAGGATTTAAATAGTGAACAAGAACTTCATCTTCAGCTTTCCTTGGCTCAACATTTCTGCAGCTTATAGAAGGAACACATCTTAACAGATGTATATATGGATTGTGAAGTTGTTTTCTGCTTGCGACAAGGATCAAGCCTCTCATAGCATCTCCCGGCTTCACAGTTCGGAAGAGTGCTACTTAGAGTTGCTCATAACTTACACTACAGGGCAGTAGTGAAGCATAGGATTTGAATAGTGAACAAGAACTTCATCTTCAGCTTTCCTTGGCTCAACATTTCTGCAGCAGGAACACAGAAGTATGACCCTTGATAAGTATACAAGCCATGCACAAAGATATGTTTTTTTACTCGGCCAGGCTGTGAGGACTGGACTACTGTGGAAGATTTCACCTGATGGGGCTTCAAGGCTTTCCATTACCCATTTTACACAAAGAGTGCAGTTATGGGTTTCCTCTTAATTCCACTTAAGGAGGAAAGACTTTAAATCCGGGAGAAAGTAGGGATCTTCCATGGGAGTCCCTAAATACCCTCACTTCCTGATCTATTCCAAACTTCCAACTCCTCTATTTGTCACAAACAGCATTTAGAATTGATTTCTTAGTGTACAAATGTTAAGGGCTCCATTTTTAACCAGGATTTGGACATAAAACTCAAAGTAACAATTGCCGAAACCTTTTATTCCACCTGGTTCTCCTGCTATACCCACCCTCCTGACCTTAAAACAGTCTGATCAACTGTGCAACGTTAGATATTCCTGGTTAACACAATAAATCTGGTAACTGAGTCAGCCATATTAGAACACACTGAAACATACAGTCAACCTTAGTGAGTGTCTAAAAAATACTGGTTTCGACAACATTTTTTTTCAAAATTATCAGAACTGAGGACAGTCAACAGAAGAAAATGAAATAAAGGAAAAATGATGCCAAGATGAATAATAAAATTCAAATTTTTCTGTATTAATTGAATCCAAATTATAAAATTAAAACATTAAAATAATAAATTGTAAAAAAATATATATCTCTTGTGAAAAAAAGAATTTTTTCTAACAGTGTAGGCAAAAAGTCCAGTATCCGAAATTTAATTTGTTTCAAAGTATTTTTAATGCAGGGCACTTTAGTTTTTCATCACAATGAGAGATGAAATGATTTTGCATGTCTATATTCAAAACAGTACAAAACAGTACAAAACTGTGCAAAACAGTACAAAACAGTACAAAACAATACAAGACTGTACAAAACAGTACAAAACAGTACAAGACAGTACCCTAAATGCTTTTTTAGATATTTGTTTCAGGCCCTAAAGCAGATTAGTGTGAATGGAAAAACAGTCCTTGTTATTGGAACTATGACTCCTTGGGTTGAGGCTGTTATACTATCAAAGTAAAGATTATCAAAACTTTTTTTTTAAAAAGGGACCCACAAAAATTTTAGAATAATATAATAACTGTAAGACCTAAGATATGATGGTTAATAGTCCTATGAATATGAAACACAGCTAAGGATATGTAGCTTTAACTTTTTACCTTTTTTACTATATTATACTGGATTTTCCAACAAAATAGTTAGCTTTTGCAAATTTGCAAATTTGTTTACACATTCTAAAAGTAGAGCATAAGAGCTTTCCAATGATGTATCATTAGTCATATTTGGACGGTAAACATGGGATTTAGAGGGGGGGGTGAAGTTTCCCCCCCCCCTCCAGCGTATCCCGTAGGGATAGGGTTAAAAACTGCCAGTCTGCAGTTAGTTTCTTTCCTTTTATTTAGAAACCAGAATTTATTTCAGTTTATAGATTGGAAACCAGAATTTATTTTAGTTTATTGAATGGAAGCCAGATTTGATTCCAGTTTAAAGAATGCAAACCAGAATTTATTCCAGTTTTTTTAATGAAAACCAGAATTTATTTCAGTTTATTGAATGGAGACCAGAATCTATTTCAGTTTATTGAATGGAAACCAGAATCTATTCCAGTTTATTGAATGGAAACCAGAATCTATTCCAGTTTATTGAACGGAAACCAGAATATATTCCAGTTTATTGAATGGTGTGACTATGAGTGTGTTTATATGAAAAAAATATGAGTCTAAAATAGTTTTAAAAATATCACTTTATGCAAACATTGTTAATAATGAAGAGTTGTACAAACATTTTCTATATAAGAAACAAGAAATTATTAAAAGAATTAATTGAAAAGCTTTGCGAAGCTTCTTTAGATATAGGAAAAAACTGCAAAGAATTGACACAAACATGGACTTTTTGAAATAAATAAAGCCAAAAGTGTCACAATGGAAACCAGCATTTATTTCACTAAATAATAAATGAAAAGTGTATTTAATTTCCCGGAAATTTTGGTTTTACTTTTTCAAGAATTATTTGAAATTCCTCTTTACGGAAAAATCAAATCATATCATTCTACTTTGAAATGGAAACCCTTACTCTTCTTCATAATTTTTAATATTCAGGAACCCTTCAAAAGTTATGACCCTGGAGTACGCTACAGCAAAAAGTGAATATCCAGGACTTGAATTTATCACACCTTTGGAGTTTAGGTAAGTCTTTGCAATAAAAGAGTCTGTGGTTGAGGTGACATTTTATTAAAAAAGTTCCATGTTCTATTCACAATGGTACCCTATCATCTTTATCTCAACACCAATGATTAGTAATAATTAAATAATATAACATATTCTAAATTCATCTAAATTTAAGAAAACTATATAATTTTAGAAAAAGATATAAAGAAGGAAAACTGCCAACGTTTGATATAATTGTTACTTACTCTTCAGTTGAACATTCAGGATTAGGTAAACAAATAATTAAAATAAACAAAAAATTAAAATAAACAAGCAACAAAAATAAACAAACAACTAAAATTAACAAACAACTAAAATAAACAAACAATTAAAATAAACAAGCAACAAAAATAAACAAACACTAAAATAAACAAAAAAGTAAAATAAACAAGCAACAAAAATAAACAAACACTAAAATAAACAAACAACTAAAATAAACAAACAACTAAAATAAACAAACACTATAATAAACAAACAAATAAAATAAACACACAACAAAAATAAAAAACAACTAAAATAAACAAACACTAAAATAAACAATTACAACTAAAATAAACAAACAACTATAATAAACAAACAACTAAATTAATTAAACAACTAAAATAAACAAACACTAAAATAAACAAACAATTAAAATAAACAAACACTAAAATAAACAAACAACTAAAATAAACAAACACTAAAATAAACAAACAACTAAAATAAACAAACAACTAAAATAAACAAACAACAAAAATAAAAAACAACTAAAATAAACAAACAACTAAAATAAAGTTTGTTTTTAATCTTTGTGAAGAAACAATCTCTAATCAAATGGTTTTCAAGTACCCCAGCAGAGATAGGGTTAAAATCTATGATTAATGAAGCGATGATAACAAAACAAGCCTAGTCCTGCCAATTCTAAAATGTAGTCTGCCTTCAAATTTACCAAAGATATATACATGTAAAGTTGTCTTATTAACTGCCTATTATTTCCGGTTTTTTTCTGGTAATGACTGTATAGTGCACATATAAACCCGAATAGATTAACAAGTGGCCATGTGCTTTTGAAGAAATTAAGCATGACATTATTGGTTTCAAAGTTTACACAGTACTGAGGACATTAATTAAAAGAATATAGATATATAAAGAAAAGAAAATTGCACTATTTTCAACCAGCTGAAATGCCCCCGGCATGTCCCGTAAAATAAAATAAAAAAAAATTTGAAGTTGAAAAAAATATTTTTGAAAAAAATAATTCGAATTTCTTCAGCCTATGTTACCTCTAGGGTACACATGGGTTCCTCCAAAGGTTTGTAAATTCGGTTCAGCCGTTTGGCCACCTATCATAGCTAATATATATATATATATATATATATATATATATATATATAAATAGTATAGATATGAGCGAAGAGCTTTATTATATAGACCTAGTGTACTTGATAATTTTAATGACCTAACCTTGAAGGTCGGTATGGTGATGCCTTGAACCCTTGGGGAGATATTCTAACTATTGCCAGGGTTAGCTGTGTAACTAGTCCTGATGCCAAGGTATTGTTCATCTCCTATTCTGGTAACCGCCAACAAGTTTTCTGAGAAATAATTTCCGGAAACAAAGTCCTAAATTTTGGCACTAAAAAGTCTAATGGAAAATAGTCCTTGGAATAAAAAGTCTCTGGAAATAAAGACATACCATTTTGAGACTTTTTATTCCAGCGTGATTTTAAAAAGTCCTCATAAAGTAGATTACGCATGATAACAAAGGATGTTTGCAACCCAAGCAAAAAAAACTTGATATTAAGTTATGTCCTGTCTATGAAAATATCTCGGACTTGACCTCATTTTCACTTTTTTTCTTGTTTTTTTTTCTTCGTATATATTTTCATGTTAATCTCCTACTATCTTGGGGGAAAAGTCCCAGGAATCTAAAGCTGAGGACTATATTTTTAATGAAATTTTGTCCTAGTAATTCAAAAATAGGGACTTGTTTACCAAACTTTTTATCTCCAGGTTTTTTTTCCGTTGACTTTCTTACATAGATTTCCTTTCAGGCATTTGAAATATTTATTAGACTTTTACCCCCTACAAGTCATGGCTCCTTCTCTTATAGTCCCTGTCCACCAGGAGTTGGTATACAACCACAAGATTTCCATCTAATGTTTTCTTTGTTCAGTTGATTATTGGAGTACCAACTACAGGGAAGGATAGAATAGAGTTTAACGCTCATAGGTTGTATTTCTTTGTACAGTACAAATTTATCCTTATCATTATTATTATTATTATTATTAAAATTATATAATAATTACACTTATACCGCATTTTATTTTAATCAAATTAATATCAAAATAAACAAACCTTTTAAGTCAACATTTTTTTGTAGAAATCATGGCATTGAACATTTTTGAATACACGATTAATACAGACCAATCTTAGTATTGTTGTTAAATCAATGTATGCTTGAAGAGAAAGATTCACAGATAAAAATAAATTGAGACTATAAAAGGACCCAAATTATGGTTTTCTTGTCTAAGGGTTGAGATAAAATTTACAAATATTTTATTATAAAATAAAAAAATAAATATGTGACTAGGATATATGGACCAATTCTTTACCCATACTTGGTTACTAACTGGAAATTAGTTTGGAGCTCTTCAGGTAATTCTAATTATGCTTTCGTCATACAACAAGTTCAATTTTATGTGGACAAACAGACAAATGAAGCACTGAAAAGAACCGTAAGCGTAATTTCAACCTATCCTCTATTCAAAGATGGCTCTGCCCGATTTACTGCAACGGTTCCCTTGAAACCTTTATCTGTTTGAAATTTTGTTTTTTTCCTAGGGTTAAAAGTGACTCTAATAATTTCTATATGTTTTTCTACAGTAATCAATTTTGCAGAGAAGCCACAATTGAAAATAGTTATTTTTAAGATAATAAACATTGATATATAATTCATATTTGATCAGACAAAACTTTTATTTGCATGGAGGGTCACTTAAACTACGCATACAGTCCCTTTACTTTTATTATCTCATAGATTTATGCATTAATATGAGATAAACACTACTACGCTGAGGATATTTATAAATATTCACTAGATGTATTTGTTCTTATTAATGGGATGACAATTTAGTTACAATGGTAATTTAGTTACAATTGTAATTTAGTTACAATTTAGTTACAATTGTAATTTAGTTACAATTGTAATTTAGTTACAATTGTAATTTAGTTACAATTGTAATTTAGTTACAATTTAGTTACAATTGTAATTAAGTTACAATTTAGTTACAATTGTAATAACGTTACAATTTAGTTACAATTGTAATAAAGTTACAATTTAGTTACAATTTAGTAAAATTTATCGATATTTTTTTAGGAGAGAAAACTCCTGAACCAAATGAACATTGGTTTAATCAGCCTGTTTATATGTTTGAAAAAAATTTGTAAAAAAATTAAATTGTTATTTTTGTATAATTTTTTTTTTATTCTTGAAGCAATTTTACCAGTTACTCACAACAAAAAAGATTTTACACCATTTTTTAACAATTGGATTAAATTTTATTTACTTATTTTATTTACAAACCATCGTCTAAAAACATTTTTCAAGGTTTGCAAAGGATTACTATAGTCTGTACATTTAATATTTTATGTGTCATATTTTACATGTATTTTTTTAAATATAATAACTAAATTATCTTTATTTATTAAACCTTATTTAAAAATGAAAAATTCAGACTTTTCAGAATTTTGTATACAGAGCGTCCCATATCATATTAGATTATCTCCAATCTTTAACGCCAAAATACGCACATAATACTCGAAAAATTTAGCATTTTCTACAAAAAAATTTCTATTAGTCCTATTAAATTTTTCAAAATGATTCATTCTTTTTAAATTTTCTGATTTGTCCCCCAAATCGTATTTTAGACCCATTGACGCGGTCTAATTTGATATGGGACACTCTGTATATACACGTACCTCGTTTATCAATAGATATCTACCAATCTTACTCAAAATAAGAAATTGAGTCTTTGCCACAAACTTTGATTTTCTTATTTCTACATCTTTAAACCCTAATGCAGTAGACCTTCTTTATTTTAAACTATGAATTCCGTCTTAAATATCATAAGCGTGCAGTGTGCACCTTCAGATTACATACACAGATATAGGGATTAGAAAATTTGAGTTTGTGGCAAAAACTCAGCACTTTTGGGTAAAAGTTTCAAACTGACACTTCGTTAGTTTGAACTTTTCGTTTTTTTTTCTAGAAATGAAGGTTGGTAAGATATAAAAATCTTAAACAAAATTATGTCCATCCCTTGTTAGAAATTATTATTTTCTTTCACACACATAATCATTTGTAACCGCGCGCGGCTGTCATAGTCCCCCAGTATATTATAAATTCTGATAGATAAAACAGCCTACAAGCTTTAAAAAGAAAGGTTTACTCCATTATTTCAGGATAAAAAAGATAGTCATTAGCAAATTTGTAGAAAGTGTATAGTTCTTTTACATAAACTAGAAAATTTTGTCGTTCACATAAGGTGAATTTTTATAATGTAGCAGAGTAAGAACAGCAAATTAATTGTAATTTGTTAATTATGCATTAAAATGTTAATTTTTGATCACAAAAAGCCATAATGATAATTAATTTTATGATTCTTAAATAAATATAAAAAACTTTAATGAGCAATAATAAAAAATGGCAATATTTTCATTTGGCCGTAAAGTCAAAAGTCCAATGCAAGGAATGTATAGACAAGTCTGAGCAAATAGATTCCTGTTCAATACATGGCAACGTAGAATGTGTACACTCTCAGTACAGCTGTATTCTGACGTCACAAGTGTCAATTCAGTTGTTGTGTCCGACAAAATTATTAATAACAGTGACAATTTTAGAATAAAGTGGTTATTTTACAGTAAATAAATACAATTTTATGTGTCCTTTAGTTTCTGTTTTTTTTTCACTTTAATATTCAATTTTGGAAAACATGTCAACTAATGTGAGCAAATTTCGTTTTCCTTGTTATATTTGACACCTGTGACGTCGTGTATAATTGGTCCATTTCTCTGTTGCCACCTATTGTACTTGATAATAAGTCTGAGTTGTGAGCATGGCACTTGTCAACTTTTAACTAGACAATTTAGCACTGGCATACAAACAATCATTTAATTTTCAAAAAGTTTTCTCACATTTATTAATGGAACTTTGCCGAAACGTACCACCATCTAATGATGGACATGAAAGTGAAGAATTAAAAAAACTTTGATGATATATAATAATACATACAAGTTTTATTTACAAAAATCTGTTTAATGTCATACATAACACAATTAAGATAAAAGAAAGGAGGGGGGGGGGTAGCAAAAAAATAGGATTTGAGTGATAATGAATAAAAAGCCAAATAGCATTTGACGTTATAACAATAAATTATGAGCTCGAAATCTTAAAAAAGTCTTAAAATGTCTTAACTGTTATCTTCCTTATCCTTATATTGTTGATAATATAAAACATTTCAAAATAGAAATGTTTCTTTTCAAAGAAAAATGAATGAGGTAAACAACACTTTGAAAAGCATGAAAACTGTATTTGTGTAACTGTATTAAAACAATAAAGTTGTTTACTGAGATAGAAAATATAACAAAAATTGAGCTATCTATACATTTCCAGGCGTCTGCTCTACAAATCTGCTAACAAAAATCCCAGTCCTAAAATTAAAGGTAAACTTTTCTTTCTAACAAGTGGCCCTCCATTTGTAGAGCGGTATATACAGGGTGTCCCACGAAACATGACAGTATGAAGGACGACTTGAATGTCGTCTTGATTTTTGATATAATTTGCTGTCAAAAATTCCGCCATTACTCCTTCAGTTCATTTTGTCAACAAATGTGATTTCGGTGAATTTGCAATAATTTGACATTTAAACCAGCCAATTTGGAAGAAAAAATCAATTTACGTAGTCCTTTATGTTTATGGAATAATTATATAAAACCTTTCCCGTATATATTTATGGTTAATTATTCATTTTTTCAATTCTGAGATTTAGGTATGGAAGTACAGGGTGTCCCACGAAACATGACAATAGGAAGACGACTTGAAAGTCGTCTTTGATATTTGAATTTATTTGTGACGTTTAGTCTTCTATCT